GGGACCACATCTGCTCCACGTACCACCATCTCCCCCAAGACCACCAGTAGAGGCACCGGGAGCCCGGGGACACACACCCCCACGGCCACACCCAATGGTCCACACACTCCCTTCACTTCTCACTCCGCCCCCACTGGTTCCGTGTCCACCACCTCCCACATTACAGGTCCGCCCACAGGAACATCATTCCGGACCACCACCACCTTCCCAACCGCATCTCCATCCAAGACCACTCAATCCACTCACGTTCCAAACTCTGCCACCTCCTCTGTCACTCCCACTTCTCACAGAGTGATCACCCCAACACAACCACAGACCCACTCTCCTTCCATCTCTACTGCAAGGCCAACAGGCTCTTCTCCATCATCGACACACGTCCCTGCCACAGGCACAGTGCCCTCACCCTCCACAGTGCCATGGACACCTACCACAAGAGGAACCACCCAAGCCCCTCACTCGGTCAGCACAGCTAAAACCTCCACCTCCCTGGTGTCACACCCCTCCGCACCTGCCCACTCTGGGACCACATCTGCTCCACGTACCACCATCTCCCCCAAGACCACCAGTAGAGGCACCGGGAGCCCGGGGACACACACCCCCACGGCCTCGGCTACTCCCAACGGGCCACACACTCCCTTCACTTCTCACTCCGCCCCCACTGGTTCCGTGTCCACCACCTCCCACATTACAGGTCCGCCCACAGGAACATCATTCCGGACCACCACCACCTTCCCAACCGCATCTCCATCCAAGACCACTCAATCCACTCACGTTCCAAACTCTGCCACCTCCTCTGTCACTCCCACTTCTCACAGAGTGATCACCCCAACACAACCACAGACCCACTCTCCTTCCATCTCTACTGCAAGGCCAACAGGCTCTTCTCCATCATCGACACACGTCCCTGCCACAGGCACAGTGCCCTCACCCTCCACAGTGCCATGGACACCTACCACAAGAGGAACCACCCAAGACCCTCACTCTGTCAGCACAGCCAAAACCTCAACCTCCCTGGTGTCACACCCCTCCGCACCTGCCCACTCAGGGACCACATCTGCTCCACGTACCACCATCTCCCCCAAGACCACCAGTAGAGGCACCGGTAGCCCAGGGACACACACCCCCACGGCCACACCCAACGGGCCACACACTCCCTTCACTTCTCACTCCACCCCCACTGGTTCCGTGTCCACCACCTCCCACATTACAGGTCCGCCCACAGGAACATCATTCCGGACCACCACCACCTTCCCAACAGCATCTCCATCCAAGACCACTCAATCCACTCACGTTCCAAACTCTGCCACCTCCTCTGTCACTCCCACTTCTCACAGAGTGATCACCCCAACACAACCACAGACCATCTCTACTGCAAGGCCTACAGGCTCTTCTCCATCATCGACACAGGTCCCTGCCACAGGCACAGTGCCCTCACCCTCCACAGTGCCATGGACACCTACCACAAGAGGAACCACCCAAGCCCCTCACTCTGTCAGCACAGCCAAAACCTCAACCTCCCTGGTGTCACACCCCTCCGCACCTGCCCACTCAGGGACCACATCTGCTCCACGCACCACCATCTCCCCCAAGACCACCAGTAGAGGCACCGGGAGCCTGGAGACACACACCGCCACAGCCTCGGCCACTCCCAACTGGCCACACACTCCCTTCACCTCTCACTTTGCCCCCACGGGTTCTGTCTCCACCACCTCACAGTCCACTTCTCTCACCACCCGAGTTCCCTTGCCCAGCCTCATGTCATCCACGCTGGGGGTGACATCCATCCGAAGTTCTCCTGCCACGAACCTCACTACCAAGCATCCTGGTACCACTGGACTGCTGACCACTCTCTTCCTGACCAGCTCCATCACTGCGCACAGAAGCTCCTCCTCTCCCACTGCAGGTTCCTCCGCCTCCTCTCTCCTCACATCCGGGCCCAGCTTCTCCAGTAAGTGATGTCTCTACAGCCTACCCCATGACCCTGTGCACTGCATCTTTAGCCTTGCCTCTCTACTGGGCCGGGTTCTGGGACACTCCCAGGAGCCCCCCCCCCTTTTCTTGACTCCTCACACTGCCTGATGACCACTGGGGCTTCTCCTTCCCCTCCCTGCCTCTGTCCCCCTCTCTGTGCTCACATCACACCGGGCTCACTGCTGTGTGGGAGGTGGCAGGTCTCCTTTCCTGCCCTGAAGCCTTCACCTCCCGGCACAGCCGGGCCGCACAGGGCGTGGTGCACAGTCAGAGAGCCAGCTGAGCCTCTGACCAGGTGTATGCTCTGGGTGTCCCAGCTGTGCCTTCAGCGGTCTGGGTCTCACCGCCCCCACACGCTCCCCCATACCTCCGCGCTCTGTCCTGTCCTATGCCTCGTGTTCCCCCACCCTTGGGACCTGTTCTCAACCCTCCTTGACAGGGTGTCAGTTCCTCTCTCCCTCCTCCCCAGCTTCCTCCTCCCTCCTCCCCAGGAACCTCTCCAGAAAACCCCACAAGAGGAACCACCCAAGCCCCTCCCTCTGTCAGCACCTGGCTGGAATGCACACCTGGCCTTCCCTGTTGATCCCCTTCCCCCTGCAGTCCTGGCCTCCCTTTGAGGAGACCCTCTGCTCAGCAGCCTTCCACTGCTGTCCCCTGCGGAGCTCAGAGGAGGTTCGGGCTGGCAGGGATCCGGGGAGCAACTATTCCCACCTTCCCCCAGGCTGCAGAAAGCAAAGCAAAGGCTGGTAGGCCATGCCTCACCCCAGGTGACCACTAAGGGCCGAGCTGGGACTAGCAGCACGCTCTCAGCCCTGCAGCCTCCTCCAGCGTCCACTCTGCCCTCTGCACCCAGGCCAGCTGCACCCACCTTGTCCTCCAGAGACACCACACCCCTCCCTCTCGGGTGTTCCCTCCACGGCAGCCATTGCCTGGACTGGGCTCCCCTCACAAGCCCCAGGCAGGACTGTTCACAGTGACACATTTCTCCTGGGAAAAGGCCTAGGTGCAGGTCAAAGCTCATGGGTCCACTCAGGGACGACAGAGCCATGCAGGAAGCTCCCGTATGGTGACACTGATGTCCTCTCCTCGTCCCTCCCGCAGGTTCTGAGCCCAGCAAACCAGACACACCTATGCCCGCAGGTAGGTATCAGCTGGGAGGGGAGGTGGCTGGGGAGGCTGGGGAGCAGCGTGGGAATCTGCCTCATCCTGAGACAGCCCTGGACCGCAGGGGAGAGGAATAAAGATCAGCAGGCTTTATTCCCGGGGTGAGGTCAGATCCGGGGGGCTCGGGCAGGAGAGACAGCCCAGGTAGGGCCCAGGTAAGTGCCGACTGGCCCCCACGGGGCCCAGGCTCATCTCCTGGCTCCCTGGGCCGGCATCACTCGGGGTCCCACACAGATAGGGCTTGAGGAGCCCAGGCCCAGAGCCCGCAGGTCCCCCAGTCCCACCTCCTGAGGGCCAGGCACAGACCCCGGGGGGGCAGCACTGTCACCTGGCTCTGGGGCTGGGGTCTCACTGCCTGCCTCCACTTCTCAGAGGTCTGCCGAGTGCGGGAGCTGGAGGAGGAGGTCACTTACCAGGGGTGCACAGCCAACGTGACAGTGACCCGCTGCGAGGGTGTCTGCGCCTCCTCAACCAGGTGAGCTGTCACCCGGGCGGTCTCCATCTACTGCTGGGCTCCGAGCTTGGAGCCGCCTTACCCAGCAGAGGCTCCCAGGGGGTGGTCGGGCAGGTCCAGCCGGGATCTCCTGCCCCGTCTCAACCACCCTTGCAGCTGACCTCCGACAGCTGGGAAGGTCACCACAGAGGCCCGCCCCGAGGCCCTGCCAGGGTCTGCCCTGTCTGGGTGGTCGGGGAGGAACGGGGATCCCTCCCCGAGGCCCTGCCAGGGTCTGCCCTGTCTGGGTGGTCGGGGAGGAACGGGGATCCCTCCCCGAGGCCCTGCCAGGGTCTGCCCTGTCTGGGTGGTTGGGGAGGAATGGGGATCCCTCCCCGAGGCCGCAGGCTTGACCATGTACCTTCGGCGGATTCTTTAGTTTCAACGCCTACACCAACCAAGTGGACACCCTCTGCAGCTGCTGCCACCCCCTTGGCTCCTACGAGAAGCAGCTGGTACTGCCCTGTCCAGACCCCGGGGCACCAGGCAAGCAGCTGGTGCTCACGCTGCAGGTGTTCAAACGCTGCGTGTGTGGCCCCTGGCGCTGCAGAGACCAGGGGCCAGCCCCCCTGGTGAGAGGATGAAGCACCACTCCCAGCGCCCAGCCCTCTCCCCCACCCGCTCCCCGGCTTGCTGTGCCTAGCAGCCCCTTTCTAGGCCTGGCCTCAGAGCCCTGGGGTGCAGCTCATCCAGGCACCTGCAGGAAGGGCCTACCGGGCAGGGGTCCCGCAGACCCTGGCCCACCCCACACAAGCCTTTCGGAACACGTCCACCAATCGTCCACACTGCTGCCCAGCCTTGGAAGGCAGCTGCCCGGCCCTGCCAACCAGACCCTGGGGCCCGAGGAAGGGCAACGATGGACAGGGGAGAGGCAGCAAGGAGAGAGGCCGAGCAGTCGGGAAGGGAAGTGAGGGCACCAGCCTGCCCACCAACACAGCTCACCCTGGGGAGGGGTGTCCCAGCGCCGTGCTCGACAAGCCCTGTGAACAGAGGACAAATAAACTGGCCCTGGTCAAGGCACGAGGCCACCCTGAGCTCTGCTTGTCGTCTCCATGCCCCTTGGCACCCGTGAACCCCAACCCCACCTACCCCACGAGGCCAGGCGGCATCGGCCAGGACCCACTCCCGCAGGCCCCTCGCCCTCCTCAGCCCACCTCCAGGGTCCCTCCCTCCCTCGGGACTCTCCTGGGGAGCCCTCTTCCCGTGGGATCCTGCTCCCAGTCTGTGGTGGGGTCACCCCTCCCATGAGCTCTGGAGGCTTGTTCTCCAGGAGGAACCCTTAGACCCGCGGCTTCCAGGCAGCAGACTACCCCACACGTCCTGCCCAGAGGAGAGCCAAGGCCGGGCGGGGGCCCAGCAGGATGACCCCACAGGCTCAACCTTACACCCTGAACCACATGCAGAGCGAAAGGCACATCACCTACAGCGCACCTAAGCTTCTGCCGTGGCCGGGCCACCACGCTCTGGAGCAGCGGCCGCCAACTGGTGGTCCATGAGGTCCGAAAGGATGGTGACCGCTGCTCTGGAGGACGACCACCCAAGGCGGTGCCCTGCCGTGTCAGGGGGTCAATGGCCTCCCGCTGCCGGCGGGGGCTTTCCCTCCACCTTCCAGTCCCTCCAGGGACAGCACACACGTTCCTGTCATGGTCTTGGTGTGGACTGTCCCTTGGAAGGAGCACACTTCCTGGTGCTCCCTCCTCCAATGCACTCAGCCCAGGCGCAGCTCAGGGAGGGCGCCGACGAACCAGGAGAACCCCGCGGGCGGGCGGGCCACACGCAGTGCGGGAGCACCGAGCACCGCCAGCAGCTTGAACAGACGCACAAGGAGCATTGCTGTGTGGCCGGCCACGCCAGCGGTTAAACCTAGAGATTAAAGGGAAACTAAAAGGCCACTCGTGTCCCTGCAAGAACCCCTGGACACGGGGGCGCACACAGAGGTGGTGGTTACTCGGGTCTCTGTGGGTCACAGAGCACGCACGCAGGGGCTACACTGACGTTGGTGGGGTGTCTGCAGTGTGGCTGCCCCCAGGCCCAGAGGGCGCCTCCGTGCCTCTGCCTCCCCGGGACCCACACCACAGCACAGGCTCATGGGGGTCTGAGGCGCCTCTCAGGGTGCCCAGTGCCTGCTGGGAAACTGGGAAACCAACAAAGTCCTGTCTCCTCCTAGGCCCTCAGGTGCCACCTGCCAGGCTGAGCTGCCACCCTCTGCGCACCAGCCCCAAGCAGAACAGAGGCCCTGGCTGGCTGGACTCCTGGGTGGCCAGCTCAGGGTGCACACGTGCAGGCTGGCGGCCAGGACGGAGTGACCACCACCAGCGCCGAGTGATGAGAGTGGCGCATGGTGACACCCTCCTGTGCCCATGCCAGCCAAGGTCTGCAGCACTGGCTGCAACTATGACCCAGGGACAACGGCGCTGACAGCCTAAGGCTACCAAAAGGGAAGAGACCAGCTTGCCTTCTAGAATCTTCTCTGCTGGTCACATTTAACCCTCCAATCACAGATGGGAACCAGTCCCTGGCCACTACGGTGAAGCCCAAAGATGAGTGAGGTCAGCTACACACCCTCTAGAGCCCCCTGTACCCTCCCCACGTGCAGTCAGTCGGCACTGCAAACCCCCTTGGGAACACCGTGCGGGAAGGGAGCTGAACCCGGTGGGATGCACGTTGGGGAGGCAGAACAGATGTCCCCTCGTCTAGACCGCGAATCCTGCCCTGGGAGAGCCAGGCTCAGCGCGGCAGCTGGCGCGCTCTGGGCTCCGGCCCCAAGGCCCAAGCACAGGGCCAGGCCACATGGGGACCTCGTCACGTAGCTCCTGCCCTGGCGGCTCCCACAGCAGGCACATGCCTGGTTCAGGTTGAGTCCCACGACGAAACACTGCCGCATGCCTCTGAGAAGCAGAGGAGCAGCAGCACAGCGGTGGTATATGATAAAGTTCCAGAAACTACCCATTTCCATTCAAACTTCTAGTTTCCCTTTAATTTGTAGGTTTAACCACAGAACTGTCCTGATTTCTATAAAAACGGATCCCAGGGCCGCCCTCCTGACCTGGCAGGCCGGCTGCGGTGCAGGCTCAGCCTCTGTCCTCACACTGCGCCGTCCCGTCCACCCTGAGGGACGAGGCAGGCTGGTGGGCCTGCAGCTGTGCAGACAGTGGCTGAGCGAGGAGTCGCGGGGCTAGAACTGCTCCGACAGCAGCGCGCACAGCCTCTGGGAGACGGTCTCCTTGCTCGTCCGCAGCGTGAGCCGGTACATCTGCAACAAAGAGGCCGGTCAGGGCCCAGGTTCACAGCCGTCACAGCCCGGGCGCCGCCTCGCACTCCCCGCTCAGCCCTGGCCCTCCCGAGGCGCCCAAAGCTCTAGCGCCTCGAGCATATCACTCTCGGCCACAGCTGAAGGGAAGTCTGAGGTGGCAGGTGCCGGTGTGCACAGGAGCTGTTGCTGGGGGGGACAATCCCAGCCCCTGGAGAGTAGGGGCAGCTACTCACCCACTAACCACATGTGGGCCTGTGAGCGCACTCCTCACTGCGTCCCACCCGCCGTCTGCACAAAGGCCTGCCCAGAGCACCCGCAGCAGCCCTGCCCCCACAGCCCAGGGGTCCATCAGTAGGAAGGCCACCAGGACTGGCACAGCACTGCCTCGAGGGGAGGCGGAGCTGGCGGCCATGCTCCGTGGAATTTTCGGGTGGGATGGGAGTGTTGTGCGCGGGGTGGTGGGTTCCCCTGGGCACTCATGACCCCACACTAGGCTCTGGCTCCCCGTGGCAACCACACCCTGAAGCCACGCCGTGGAAGCAGCCATGTCCTCAAGAGGCTGACCTGGGCCTGGAGGTTCGGCTCCAAGCGCAACAAGCACCCGATCTGCGTGGTTCTGGTGTGGATGATCCCGGCTCCCACAAAATTGGCAGGATTCGGATCGACCTCTTCCAGGAGCGCGGAACCAAACCCAATAATCTGTGCAAAGGAAACGGGAAGCTGGGACACCACGGCTGCGGGTGGACACAGGGCCGCCCCGGGAGCGCCGCCAACAAGGCCGTCACCTTGGCTTTGGTGATTTCTGTGTCCATTGGATGCTTTGCCTTGAAAATGTTCTGCACCTCCTGCTGGGGACTGAGACACAAACCAGCGTCAGACCTTCCGCCGAGGGGCCACAGGCCCAGCTGCCCCTCCCCCTCCCACACAGGGGCCGCTCACCTGCTTAGCTGCTTCCAGCGCTGAAAGAAGTCCTGGGAGGCCATTTCTGTGGGCTGGAAAAACTTGTTGAGTGTGATGGGCAACTTGACGGACACATTCTGAAAGGTTCCGCCATACCTGCGAGCAAGAGACGTGCTGAGGAGAGCCACGGGCAGCAGGGGACTGCCACTCAGCTGGGGGCCAAGCCCCTGCCTGCCCATCTCCAGGCACAGAGGGCTGCGGTCCCAGGTGGGGGGCTCCCGCCTCAGCGCCTCATCCACCCAGCCGCTGGAGGGGCTGTCCTGCCCACAGGGGGCAGCGTTTGGAGGGTGGCTCGGCCTGGCCGGGGCACTGTCACTGAGAGGACCGCGCACCGCTCGTGCCTGCTCCTGGGCACCTGTCCTGCGGTGGACGTGCTGCTCTGGCCGAGCGCTGCGGGCGACACCCCCGAGGACATCCACCCCCTCACTTTCCCCATCAGGCCACGCCCACAACTGCAAGTCAGTTGAAATTGTGTCGGGTTTTTCCTCTTTTCATGAAAAGAAAATGTGCCTGTTTCCCTCAATTTCACAAAGTATACGATCTTCAGTTCTCTGTGTATTTGATGTTTGAAAATATGCTTTTCCATGCCCGTGGGTGTAGCTCAGCGGTTGAGTGTCAACCCAGGAACCAAGAGGTCACCGGTTCAATTCCTGGTCAGGGCAAATGCCCGGGTAGCGGGCTCAATCCCCTGTGGGGAGCGTGCAGGGGGCAGCCGATTGATGATGTTTCTCTCATCGATGTTTCTTTCCATCTCTATCCCTCTCCCTTTCTCTAAAAGTCAATAAAAAAATATTTTTAAAAAATACATGCTTTTCCAAAAATGTAACTTTACAAACACTCAACAGTGAACTGGTCAACCAAGTACACTCTATTGTAGCCATTGAAAAATAACACTAATGAACCAGTAACAACACCAAAAATAAGTGTGGGTTTTTTTTGGTAATCAAAACAGTGTGTCTGCAGAAGCACTCACAGCAGATGAGGCCTAGAGAGACACCCCCCTGCAGCGGCACAGGGGACCTGGGCCCCGCCCCAGATGACACGCCAGCAGGCACTGCGGGGTCTGGACTCACTCTCCCCCACCTCCATCCTCTGTAGCTGGTGCTGCAGCTGAGCAAGGAGGAATGGCTCCCGGGGACACAGCTGCGTGCAGGTGAGCCCCAGCCCCTCAAGCTCCAGGTCAGCGCCAGGGCTGGGACACCCCGCCAGCCAGCAGCACCCCACCTGGGCTCTCACCTGAACTGGATGTTGAGAACTGGCGCTTCGGTGAAGTCCGACACGCACTCAATGTTGACAACCTGCTGCACCTGTGCACCCCCGTCCACTGTCGGATCCACGGGCTTGGTCTGCAGGCTCAGGTGTGTGCGTGTCAAGGCCATTTCAACTAGAAAAGTGGGTCCGAGCCAAGCCAGCCTTCACTCCCCGGGCCCAGGGAGCCCAGCAGTAAGAGACCTTCTAGAAGGGGCTCAGAAGAGTGGTGCTCACGCTGCTGATCTTGGACGAAACCTTTAGTAGAGTTGACCCTACGTACAAGTATTTTTAAAGACTTCTGAAACACCGCCTTGACAGGCTACATTTAAAATGTACTTGTCTCGAGATACAAGTGAGCAGGTAGCCGCCCCTCTGGCCAAGCCGGGCCTTGCTCACCACCACTACGTGGCCAGCCCTCCTGGGAGGGAGCACGGTGGACACTAAGTGACGCCACACTGGCCGGAAGAGCTCCCACATCGCTGACTTTCTGGGGGGATAAGCCTCCATCTCAACAAGTGGTGGGCCCGCTGTGTCCGGCAGCAGCAGCCCCGGAGACCCGGAGAGGGACTAACAATGTCACAGGAGAGCGAAGCACGTGAGCCAGGAGTAGACGCTGCCTGTCAAGGGGGAGCATCCCTTGCTCACAACCCTCCGCTACCCCCCAAGGGCTGCTGGC